TCCTGAGACAGGAAGCGTAGTCCTGCCAAGAATGTAATAAGGGTTAATGGAGAGGCAGTTTCTGTAAGCAACACCAGAATGTTTCCTTCCTGCCTTCCCTACAGGATTAGGCCAGTAACAACCGGTTCTCCAAACTGCTTAGAATGTTAACCGGTTCTAGTGAATGGGTGCAAACTGGTAGAATCCCACCCCTGTTTGAATCCCACCACTAGTATAATCCTTCTTAGATTATCTTCTATGTAAGATACATCCTTTTTAAAACAACACTACACATTATGTGGGGCACAACTCTTGCTTCTAAAGAAAATTAAATGTCCTTTCCTGCATTTAGTTACAATAAATATTAGAGACTTGATTATTATTTTAGCAGTGGTTGAAGATCTGAGTTTTGAATTTTAAGATTCACTTTTGTAACTTTTAAATTGTTGCCTGATACTGCTGTAAAGATGGTTCATAGGAGCATTTTATCTTGTGCTGATTCTACATTAAGTAATAATTTTATTTCATGTCAGGATGGAAGAGCGTGGACAGCATACCGAAGTTGGTAACTGAATACATGTCCAAAAAAATAAAAGTTGATGACTTTGTGACCCATACTCTACCTTTTAAGCAAATTAATGAAGCTTTTGAACTTATGCATGCTGGAAAGAGGTAAGTGTTTTGCTGCATGTTAAAAGTTTATAACACAATTTTATATAGGGCTTTTTTTTAAGAGAGAACCCCTCCTGAATAATTTTTAGTTGAGTAGGCCAAAGATTACCATTTAGTATTGCAACCTGTACAGCTGGCATTCCTTTTCTGGTTTCTTTCTTTCTTTCTTTTCTTTCTTTCTTTCTTTCTTTCTTTCTTTCTTTCTTTTCTCCTTTCCTTTCCTTTCCTTTCCTTTCTTTCCTTCCTTCCTTTTCTTTCTTGATAGCAATATCAGGCTTTTTTTCCTTTTTTTTGAACCATCTCATGTTACTTGGATCAACTCCCTTCCTTTGAATGGGAAGCGATATCAGTATGCCAGTTTGGGTGCTGGGGTATATTCCAAGGTTTTGAATTGACCCATTTAAAACTTTTCTTCTGATACGGGAGCACAATATCTTCAGCAAGATGTTAAAGGTATCTTTGTCTATTAAAAAAACAGCTTGTGCTATACAATTTTATCCCATGAGCCATGAGTCAAAAAGAGGGCTGTGAAAATATCTACCAACCCCTCACATCCTGGACATAAATTATTTCAACTTCTACTCTCAAAAGACGCTTTAGGACACTGCACACCAGAACAACTAGACACAAGATACAAGCAACGCGGTTATAGTCATAAGTGGAAAGAGATAGCTCTTTCCACTTATGACTATAACCGCGTTGCTTGTATCTTTACAATTTATATTGTTTTGTTTCCTAGTATGATTTGATTGCTTATTAGTAACCTATGACTATTGCTAAGTGTTGTATTTTATGATTCTTGATGAATGTATTTTATTTTTCCTTTATATACACTGAGAGCATATGCACCAAAGACAAATTCCTTGTGTGTCCAATCACACTTGGCCAATAACGAATTCTATTGTATTCTATAAGCCTGAATGCCTCCCGAGAGGGGCAAGTGACCAGAATCTTCATTTTAAATTTTAAACGTTACGTCTTTTCCTTGCAATCTTACACTGGGAAGTGTAGAACAAGGGGAATTCAAACAGATAGAGTGGGCAAAGAGTGAGTTACAGAAAGAAATCCATTAATTTGACTGTTCAGTTGCACTTGATGGGAAGAATTGCAGAATGCATGGAGGGATAAAAAAAAATACTGTTATTTGTCTGAAATTATGAATTTAAGATGATCTTCTGAAACATATTGATTAAAAAATGGTGTACAAAAATCCTCCAGTTGGTGCCCTGTGAACCTCTCTTCTTTTCACTGGAAATGATGAAATAAAAACTGAAAATGGAATAAAAGAGTAGCTACGAAAGAGTAGGTTTAAACTGCTGAGATTGATATGCAAATAAACTGCATTGCTGAGCATTCTGGAATTGTAGTCCTCACCTCTGTAAAGTGCATAGGCTGGAGAAGGGGGATAAGAACATTTTTGTTTTGACTACAATTATTTGATTTATGATTGCGTGATTTCTCTTTAAGGTATTTTAAGTTTAGAATACAAAATACTTCTCTATTTACCTCCAATAATTTCATTTTCTTCAATGTCTTATTTACCAGAAAAAATAACATTGTCTTCTTGGTGATTATAAGCCAAGCCTTGGATAATTTGAGGAAAAATACATTTTTCTTTCTAGTAAATACAATAAGAAATCTTACTTTTATGGTACAGTGTAAATACTGTTTATAATTTTTTCTTTTCACTTTTACAGCATCCGAACTGTTCTGAAACTTTAAAACGTCTGAAGATATGTTTAATTCAACACACTGTTTGGAATAATTGTAATAATCAAGTTGAAACCTTGCCTGTGCAACAAAAAGCATTGATCATGCCTTAAAATAGCACATACCAGCTGTTTGTTTGTTTAATACTGTATACAATCTAAGTTTCCATCTTAGTTGATCAGGAAATATCAAAAGTCTAGATTGAACTGTTGGTTTATTTAAAATCAGAAACTATTTTTAATATTTCTAATAATTAGTTTAGGGTATTTCTCCCCTTGGAAAAAGAATGATTAAAACTTGTCATTACCTTATAAGGATATATGTATGAAGGTTTTTTTTCCTTTCAGATTTACTCACAATTCAGGGATTCTGGTTTGTTTCAATAGAAATGATAAAAGTCAAGCAAAAAAAATAACCTTACTATAACCATGGATTGTGTGAATAGGCTGTTTGTGGTTTCCAAGAACAATTTAACTCTATGAATAAATAACATGGCTCCAAGTTAGACCTATTATAGCTTTTATTCAATGGGGGGGGGGGGGGGGATAACAATAAGCAGAAAAATCCCATCAATTTATCTAGATTACCTATACTCATGTATTTCTCTGATATTTACTCAGAAATACGTTGCCTTCCAGCCTTCCCAATTGCCAATGTGAGATCACAATTCACATGAATTCTAGATTTCTCTATGACATGGTAAGACAGTTCTAGGGGCCTAAGATGTCAAGATTTTAAAAGTTGTTTCCATAAGATTACAAAGAAAACTATTTTTGCTAATTAGAACTGAGTTTCACCTTTGTTAAATCCACTGCTCCACAATAATTTCAGGTGTGGCTTTTTTTTACATGTAGGGTACAGTTCAAAGGTTCCTTATTTTTCTGGAATGTTAAACATGTTTGGAGTTTTGAAAATGTTATGGGGCATTCTCATAAATAAGCTGAGATAATGGTGGTTGGTTTTGTTGAGAACCTTTTGGGGTACCAGAAGTGGAGTTTGGTAGGAAATGTCTTCTAAGTAGCGGTTGAAACCTAAAGTTTCTTATTTCCTAGAGCTTTGCTGGCTGAGGAATTCTGGGAGTTGAAGTCCACAGGTCTTAAAGTTGCCAAGGTTGGAGACCCCTGTCCTAAAGAAAAGGTTCATCTCAATTAGCATAACTAGTAACTGATAGATGGATGTGAATAGCAAAATTACACATAACAGACTGGTGCAGTAAAATTAACCTGCATTTTAACCTTTAGACCAGATGAACTTTCTCAGTCTCCTCTTCAAAAGGTGGGAATGTTGGACCCATTATGCAGTGACCAGAAATGTACTTCAAAGTAAGTGCCAAGTACTATTTTAGGTCATCCAGAGATAGCTGATTTACCATAACCAAAATGTCAGGGAGTCATAGTCAATACTCTTACCCAGTGAGGCTAATTTTTGCATCTCATGCAGGAAAGTTACTATAGTCTATGAGCAGTTATCATTTGTTTTCTAAAAAAGTCTTGGTATTTAATGTGCTTCAAGCTGTTGCTGGGGGAAAAAAGAGAGAAAATGAAAGGGAGTGAACTTGGTGAACGCACTTTGGACTATCATTGTGGGGAAACCAGGTTAATTTGTGCGGTGCAGAAAGTATAGGATTAAACTGGCATACAATACATGGTTCTAATTCGAGGGTCTTTTGGTAAAGTCAACATGGAGTTCAACTATCACATCAAGCCATAATGTAGTTTGGTTGTTGTTTTTTTTAGCTTTAAGAGGGTTTGTATAAAACCAACCAAGGGCTTGTAAATCATGTATCTATCTCATCCAGATGAGGTTTATTCAACTCAAATATATGAATCTAGTCTAAAATAAAGCCAAAATCAGAAGTCGGCGTTGAAGTACATCTAAAATTTGGTTCTAGAAGCAAAAGTGCAAGTGGTGCATAAATGACATCATTCCTCATCTGGCACATTTTCTCTGCTGCTGTTGGTCCCTATCTGAACTTGGTGGATTTTCTGTTCTACCCTTAGACTTCTTCAGCCTAGTCCCTTTGTTGCTGGTTTCCTTCCTTCTGATGCAGGCAGCTCGATGTTCTGCCACATCATTCTCGCTTTAAAATTCAGGTCCACTTTCTGGAAACTTTGTCCTGATGGAACTTGGCAAGGCTCAATGAGGTACAATGGTCTTCAGCTTTCTTTTAAAAGCCATGAAATTCCAGCAGTACTGACTTTTCAGCAGTCTTCTGTATGAGCTCCTGTTTGCCAAACCTTCATTAACCAATGTGCCTATCTACCAATGTACCCTTTGCTATACTAACTCTTTTAGAATCAGCCTGTTTAAAGACTTCTGTCCCCCCCACAAATATCTTTTCCAGGCACCCAAAGAATAAGCAAAGCACGACTCTCAGGGCAACAACGGTACTTCCATTTAGTTGCCCTGTCAAAACTGCACTTCTTACACACACACACACACACACACACAAACAAAAGAACAAACTCTAGGCCAACCACCCAGACTTCTCATCTCTTTTCAATAAATAACTTATCCTTTTTGTCATACCTGTTCTAAACCTCCAAAGAACAATAAAGTCAGATACTGCTGATGGAAGTTGAGATCATTTAAACAGCTTACAATGATTTTATAACTAGCACAGAGCAGAAATGAGCGTATTATGCCCATGATTTTATGACTTTTATTTGTCTTCATTTCTGTTGCTGTACTTCAACACTGTATGGATGAAGTAGGCACCAGAATTTAAAAATGTGGTTGAAAAATCATTCTCATTACAGAATACAAAGCTAGATGGAAAACAGCAACTGGCCAACAAAATGAAGCCTTCCCTGACACAACTATGGTAAATCTGTATAACCAATTCATATAAAGGGACATTATCATACTATCACCTTTGTTGCTGCTCTAAGGGCCTTTGGGGAAAAGATGAATTATTTCCAGGACTATGAATTATGTCCAAATCTTGCACATTTCAAAGGCATTATCTTTGCTACAACAGCTTCCTTGTCATGAAGCATCACATTGGCCAGTTGCAACAGCACCTTCACCTGCTTTATCAAATGCCTAAGAACATTTCAGAAAAATAATGTGATAAAATATGCCTTGGGAAACATGTATCATATCTTACTTTCCTGTTTGTGGCTCAGTTCTCATTACCACTGGCAAAGTTTTCCCCTTTAATCTGGAGTGATTTCAGTTGTTATGGACTAAAAAGCAACCATTTCTGATCCAGTTCCTGACAGCTGCATTTCACAATCCCAAAGTATCACTTGGGGTACCGTGATGAAATCTTATCAAGTGAGCCAGCCCTACAGTGGATATTTGATCATGGCAATGAAGTCATATAGAGTCACAAATGTTACTATGCATGGTAGACAGGAATTCTTTGTATTTTTTTTCTATTTCAGTTGAAATAACAGCTTTTTAGTAGTGGAATTTTAGAACCTTATTGTCTGTCAAGTGCTACCCATCTTAAAGCCGTAAGTTAGTAAAAGCTCAAACCAGGCAGGATCTCAGTAATTTTGGCCTCCCTGCCTCACTTCACGGCTTTTCACAGAGAACACCTGGGCAAAGGCAAACTCTTCATTAACTAGCGGTTATTGTACTTCTATGTACAATTACAACACAGGCAACCAAAATGGTAGAAGGAAAGGCAGCAAGGTTCTACACTAGAGGGACTAGTACACAGTACTAGTTTCATTTATGTAGTATATAATGCCACCTCTGAGTTGTAAACAGATGAAAGCCTAGCCTGTTTAAAACTGCCTTTGCAGCACAAGCTAAGCAGGGATTGCCTTTGGAACAAGAAAAGTTCAAAACCTAAAGTAAGCTCTCACATTCACCATGAAAACGTTGTCTTAGGTACACCAGCTGACAACTGGCAGTGACAAAATCATCTGAATCCCAGCTTTTTGTTTGTTTGTTTTTGTTGTTTTCTTTTGGTAGGTGGAAAGGAAAACAAAGGGGTGCTACTTGGAAATTTTTAAAAGTTCAAACAGTGTTGGGGTCCTCTGCATCAGATTCTTCTGAGTTGTACGGTGCAGATTTGCATTTCCCTTATCTATAGGCAATGACAAGAAAACAGGTGATAAAATCCCCCTTCCATTCTGTACATTAGTAAAATGAATAGTACAAAATGCTCATTTCAAGGTCTTCACGTGGCTTATACTAGCATTGGGTCATGAAGTGAGGACGAATGCTATCCAACCGCCGGGTTAAGATGTCACACCCGGTATCCGTGACTAGGAGTGTGTGCTCAAACTGAGCAGACCGCTTGCCATCTCGGGTAACTGCAGTCCAGCCATCGGGCCAGGTTTCATCTTGCCACCCACCTAATGAAGACAACATAAACAGATTCAACACAGAGAATGAACATATACATCACAGCAGATACAGCTTCTGCAATTGTCTATGGAGATTCTCAAACATCGAGCCATGGTTGTCCCAAAGGTGCTTTTTCCAAAAGGATTTTTGCTTTGAAAACAATTAGCTTCTTATCCAAAAAGTTTCTTCAGCTGAAGAAGTGGCTTCTTAGATGAGAAGCGAAATGTTTTCGAAGGAAAAAACAAGTCCAGTTGTCTTTTGGGAAAGCAGCATTTTTGGGATAGCCTCATCAATTGTTCATTTTTTTAAAAAGAAAAACTTCAGCTTTTTATTTAGGCATACTGCATAGTGTGCGTGTGCGTGTGTGTATATAAATATATATAAAAAAAACATTTTGGCCTGCTTTTCATTAAACATAGAAATATATTAAAGCCAATAGCCCGGCTATTTTCTCCCCTACAATCACCTTGGATAAAAGCAAATACAGTAGAACATCTGGTCACGACCGTAATCCGTTCCAGGACTTTGGTCATGACCCAATTTGGTCATGACCGGAACAAGACTGCGTACGCGCCTACACCTGAGGAACTGTTTGCAACTAGAAGCAACAATTTTCCAAAATTTTGGGTCGTCACCTGCTTTGGTCACAAACAGAAGTGTTCATGACCCGAGGCTCCACTGTACATGGCCCCCTCCTCTATTTTGGGAGGCAATTGTTCCCCACCCTCTAAGAATGGCCCCAACATAAGAAAATTTATTGGTGCTTTTTCAGAAGCTACTTTTCAATCAATTCCCAGAGAAGACAAACTTTTAGCACGGGTTAATCTTTTAGCTAATGCTCATGTTTTTCCCAAGGTTTATTTTAATAAGCATGAGGAAAAACTCATTATCCACTGATCATTAGAATAGTTTTGCTATCTGGACATTTATACACATATTCTACTCTGTCTACTACGCTGGTAATATAGACCATTTATAGGCTTCATATCTTTATTGTCTCTGCTTCCTTGCATTCCTATTAGTCTTTTATATATTTAACAAATTATCTCTATGAAAAAATATGCAAAATGATCCAATATTTGCCAATTTGTGGAAGATTTTTTTTAAAAAAAAAAGCAGTAAGAGGCCCTCTTAACTCTTTTAACAGGATGACCTCTTATAATTTTATTTACATACATGAAACTCAAATATTTTTTATAATTTAATATTTAATCATTCAATTGTGCAGATTTTTTAAAAAACAAACTGCCACTACGGATTTCTTAGAAATTAGTATGAACTGTCTAGGGAGACTGTAAGGTAGTTTAGGCATAACATAAAAACAATCTTGGATACAATCTTTTGTACCTTGAAGAAAAAATGTAACAATGCAAAAAATATGCAGCAAGATTTCTGCTCAACAATTGGAATATACTTTGCTTACAAGATAGCAGCTCGCCGGTGACTAGGAAATGTTCCTACATATAGCTTCCAAATTAATTTCAATAAATTTCTAGTTAAGAGACAGAATTCCTTAGATTCATAACAGCATATTACCTTCACAGATCATTGGTTCTATCGTAAATGCATGACCAGGCTTCATTACTCCAACAGCCTTATTTTCTGGGAAGCACAATAAAATGTTTTCAGGAAATGATCAATTCTCACAGACAAGACAGGAATAAAATACAAGACAATGCTAAAGTACCACAGTGATACAGTAGTTGTTCACAAGTTTTTTTAAAAAAAATATTTTCTTTCATTTATTATAAAGTACTTTGGACAGAGGTATTGAAAACTGGATCCAGTATAAAATAATTCACCCAAAACAAAAAGTAGATAGGAAAAACTGAATTTATAAAAATCCTTCGTAATTTCCACTTTCCTATCTTCCTAACTAAAATAAATTATAGTTATTTCCTTCCTACCCAAATAAATGTATGCATGCTATTGTTAACGTGCTCGTTTTTTTGGTAAGTGGGGTTATTATGTCATGGGTTTTCTATTCTGTTTTTTTAATTATTCTTGTAAACTGCCCAGTCACATATGATATACAATACAAACCATATAACTAATTAAACAAAATACCTAGAATACACATATAAGTGAATATGCATACTTTGTATGTATATATTTAAAAAGGGCAGGGACATCCACAACAATACTAACTGGTTTGGCCAATTAAAGTGCTGACCACAGTATTCTGATTGTAAAATAAGCCTGTGTACTTCCCAACCCATTTTAAGATGCTCCTAATGGCTGAGACCCAAATATGTGAATGTCCCTTCCAATGCCAACTTTGCTGTCTTTTAAGGCAGTGGTGGGATTCAAAAAATGTTACTACCAGTTGTGGGTGTGGCTTGGTGGGCATGGCAGGGGAAGGATACTGTAAAATCTCCATTCCCACCCCCACTAACCTACTTTCCAGCTCTGTTCTGTGCAGGGCAACAAAAGAAGACCCAGCCAATCAGCTGGGACTCAGGAGTCAGAGAATAGATGGGGGTGGGGCCAGTCAGAGGTGGTATTTGCTGGGTCTCCAAACTACTCAAAATTTCCACTATCGGTTCTCCAGAACTGGCCAGAACCTGCTGAATACCAACTCTGTTTTAAGTTCACCAGCTATAGAAACGTAGGAAACGACAAGGTTTATTGATTGCTAGCAACATTACACCAGAACAAATATTACTTATACTTACTGGCATAATGTGGCACATTGGGAGCGGTGTGAAAAAGCTTATGAATCCCATGCCCACAGTAGCTCCGAACTACTGAAAAACCATTGGCTTGAGCGTGTTTCTGTATAATATTTCCCAATTCTCTATACCGTACACCAGGCTTTACTACAAAGCAATGCATATATTTAGAAATCACAATGAAAACAACGATCAGTTTTAATACATATGTTCTTTTCTTTTGCTCATGCGCACGTTCTCCCTCAAAGAATACACAAGAGCTCAGAATTTATGATACAAAAAAAATGAAGAAAAGGAAGTTTTCTGATCAAATACTTTCAAATGTAAAAGTTTCAAGTTTGGACACACAGAACATTTCAACAGAATACTCTCGGGGAGAACAGGCTTACTAGCTACAAATACTCTCAGGGAGAACAGGCTTACAGGCCACAAAGACAGTATCATTTTTAGTTTTCAGTTCCACAGCTACAACTAAGGCATTGTGCAGTTTGCATTGTGGGATAGTTGTATTTAAATAGGTTGGCAGCCACCAGCTTAATTTTAAAAGAGGATGAAGTCATGGAGGATCAGGCTGTTATATTATGAAAACATGAGTAGCATCATTTGCCAAATCTTAGGACGCGACTGCTGAAAAAGGTTATTCTATATTTGTGAGCCTTCTGAAGGCATCTGCTTGACCCTTGAATGACAAAGAATGCTGAAAACACGGACCTCTGGCCAGGTTCAGCCTATGGCTTAGCGTGACACATAAATCCAGTTGTTGTTTATAGCTTAGCATGATAGGGTCCTATTTTAATATGCTATAAAGCCTTCAAATTGTAAGTCATAATATTTAGGGTAGGCAGGCCAACATCATGGCAAGTATAACCCTCTTTGTATGCTTCCTAAAAGTCTTAATATTTTAACTCTTTCTCTTTTAATTACCATAAGTAACATATTTGTGCTTTAAGAGAAAATTTCCTCTAGTTTTCTTCAGGATTTAACTGTTGAAAAAAGTGATATTTATGTATTAGTCCACTATGGATTTTCAATAAAAACGTAGCATAGTATTCAATCCACACATTTATCACTCCTTGGACAACATAAAAACACTTCTGTATCCTGATTAAGTATGAGTATTAGTTTCCCCTGCAAATGCTAAAGATCCAGGGGAAGAATTTTGATAATCAGTTTAATCTATTATTTTGTTATGCAAGCTCATTGCCTGGATTTTGGAGAATTTGAACTGCCTCCAATAAATAACCATTTTACAAGCTTAGAAAGATGATTAAGTTTCATCTTAATATTACATTAATTCATTTTCACTATCTGCCTCAAAACATTTTTAATTTGTCACCACATGCGAGGACACAGATTTACAAGAGAAACAGACTGCAACTGTTAGACATTCAGCAAAGAATTCCAAACTTGACATTCCATTAATGTTTAGCCAGTGCTTCTGGAAACAATCAATTTATGAAACTTTATTGCACTATTAAAATTAATTATTTTGAATAAGCTAGTCATCCCCACCAAAAGGAATAAAATTACAGCAATTTGGAACAGTGCAGCATGTTGATTGAGACAGACTCCTTAAGGGAAGCAAGACTCAATATAACTGATCTTCCATCTATAATGTATAAAAAGGAAGTCAAGCACAGGTTTCAAAAAGCTCTTACCTTCATCAATTGCTTGCATTAGGCATTCATATGTCGTCTGAACTAATCGTTTTGCACCCTCATCCACTTCTCCAACATAAAATGTCTCATTGAGATCTCCATGATAACCATTACGATAAACAGTAATGTCCACTACAAGACACAAAAGGGACACTGCATTTCCCATATTCTGTTTTTGCAATCATAACAAGGCTATTGATCAAATATAAAGAACACATCACAAAATCAGAAAGCTTCATGCCCCAGGACTCAGCTCTTTTTCTCCTATTTTATTTAACATCTACATGAAACCACTAGGAAAGATAAACCATCAGTCTGAGGCAAGAAATCACCAACATATTGATGACACTCAGCTGTATAGTGTTTGATGGCTGCTAGGCTTGAGAGCAGGAGTCTCCAACCTTGGCAACTTTAAGACTTCAACTCCCAGAGTTCCTCAGCCAGCAAAGCTGGGAGTTGAAAGTCCACAAGTCTTAAAGTTGCCAAGGTTGGAGACTCTTGCTCTAGAGGGGGATTGATATAAGACTCAGATGAAATCCCAGCACGACAAAACGACTGTTTATCCAAAAATTACCTAGAGCCAGTATAATTTCATATTTAGTGTCTGATGTGGTTATAAGACCTCTGAAAGGTTTTATCTGGAATCTTGGATCTCCTGGACTGAAAGCTTCTCCTAAAACATCAGATAGAGACTGGGCCAAGAAAAGTCTCTGCCCAGCTACAGCTGAGAACCAAATGCAAACATTTCTGCAAAAGGATGCTCTAATGGTGATTATTTCTGCCCTTACCACCTTCACAACTGAGTCAAAATAATGTGTTTTATTTGGGCTGGTTTTGAAGACAAAACAAAAATATAGTCCAACGTTGACTGATGATGTCTCACACTTGGTTCAGCAGACTTTCAGAGTGCATGGCATATGAATATTGGAAAAGAAGTTGAAAATATAAACGGCTATACCAACAACGTTGATAATCAAAAGCCCCTTTGTTTACTGTGGAATTGTCAGGAATTAAAAATAGAAAGGTTCTGTTAGTTCAGATTAAAAATTTCTCATGGTGATTACCAAAAGGCATCTGAAGAAATAGCCATAACATCAACATGTAAATATAATTTACAATCTGCTATGGCAATGCAAGAATTTTTTTCAGACTGATAAACATTCAAGGGTCTCTTATGTATACAACCGGTTGCAAAATTTCCATTCTCAGCACGCCCATTCTTGCATCTTTGCCAGTTCACAGGAAAAACAAACTGAGACAGTCCCTGTTGTGAACTACACAGGGGTAGACTGAATGTGAATTGGAAAGAGATCTTTCAAAATTCCTGTACCTCTCTGTTTTTCATCTCAATAAATCTTCCTAAAGAAAACTTCATGTGAATCATGCTTGAAAGGAATTATTTTCATTTCAGGCTCCTCTCAAAAAGCTTGACAGCCAAAAGGGGCAGTTAAGTTGGAAAATGCAGAGAAATTTTTTAGAAAGGAATTGCTATAAGGTTTACGGCTTTAATTCTGGACAAATGTAAAAGTTGTACTAAAGAAACAAAAGGAAGTTAACCTGTTGCATCTGTATACCATTAGCCAAGTAGGAGATGAATGCACTAGGACCAATAAGCTTTCCCGGCAGAGTTTTTAAAATATCAAGAATAAAGCATACACATGTTTTGGAGATTGGTAATCTCCAAAGCAAAACAAAACTAATATTTTGGAAAAACATCATTGTTGGATAGATGATTACATAGACACACTCTCCAATGACAATATCCTTCCAAAATCCTATTTCCTATGAAAATATTTATTTTGAAGTTTCCTACCATTAACAATATCGCCTTCTTGTAAGCGTCGCCTGTCTGGAATGCCATGGCAGATGACTTCATTTACTGATGTGCAGCAAGACTTAGGAAAATTGTAATAATTCAATGGCGATGGGTAGCAATTTCTGGCGATGCATGCCTGAAAAGAGTTTTAAATATGCTTTTCACTCAAAAATATTTCAAAGTGTAATTTTAATAAATGCAGCAAGTTTAGCAAGTGTAATTTCTGAAAGATGGACTAAAATCAACTGTATAGGATTAGACAATTAATCCCTCCCTAGAACAAGGATCAATTTGGGACCCAATAGCATTTTTGAAATATACGTGATGCTTGACAACATATTAGCTTTCTGCTTTTTTTAATTTTAAGTATTAGGGGAAAACTGAAGTCAAGTAGTAGAGTCTGGCAGGTTTGCAGAAAAGTCTCAGGAATGTACTGGTGCTACAGGTGCAATATTGGGGATCTATGAACTAATGTTATATAGCCACTCCTAACTATGTGGGACATTAGTAAGCTGATTGTTTTTTTTAATTAAACACAATATCTAAGCTTTAAAATATGGTAATAAAAAACAGAACCTCATCAAAGTATCCTTACTAAATGAACAGCATGATCTATTTCTTCAGTAGTTACACCTGGTTTCACCATCACGGCAGCAACATCTAAGACTTCTCTAGCAAGCTGCAGGATAAAGGAACAGAAATTATTCATAATGACAAACAATGTCCATGGAATAAATATAATAAATATACATATAAATAAGTAATAACATTTTCAAAGTAAGCATGCAAATACTTTTTGTTTTAGATTCTACTTTATTTTAACCAATGTTGTGCAATATGAACTTACCCTACAGACAACTCGCATCCCTTCTATATCTTCTGAAGAAAGGATCTTTATCTGAGAAGTTCCTTTAAGAGCCTGTTCTGACTCGGACATACCTAAAGGGAAGGATTATTACCATTATGATAACTAATATTGATCTCTCAAGTTTCCTCCAGAAAGCTCAATATTATAAAACTTATAAAGTTGTCGTCTTATTTTATCCCAACAATGACACCCAATGACCTGAGAGATGATTGTTCAAAAATCATTAGGGAACTTGTGGTTCAGTGGGAATTTAAACCTGATTTATCCCTGCCCCAGATTCCAACTATTGCATTATGCTGGGAAATGGTATCTATTCACAATAAATTTTAGAAAACAAATGCATGTTGGTTGCATGCAAAAGCTATGGAAGATTTACTTCCAGTAAACTACCACAGCATTCACAAATAAATCAGTGGTTAATATAAATCAATGGTGTGACCACATCTGGAATAATGTGTACACTTCTGGGTACCACACCTTAAAAATGATATAGTGGAACTAAAAGGTTCAGAGGAAGAAAATGAAGGGGGTTGGAGCAGTTTCTATGCAAGGAGAAATCACCATATTTGGGCCGGTTTAAGTTCAGAAAGGTGGAAAATGAGAGAGGACACGACTGAAATATACAAGTTACCTATGGTGTGGATAAAGAGAACAAGGAGAAGGTATTCTCTCCTTCCCAAAAGAACCAGAGGTCACCCATTGAAACTGAATCTTAAAAGAACTGGGACTGACTAAAGGAATTCTTTTTTACACAATAAGCAATTCAACTTTGGAATTCACTACCACAAAATATAATCCTGGCTACTAGTTGGATTCCAAAGAGCTGGGATTAATGGCTATTAGCTTGATGGCAGTATAAATTCTTCAGAAGGCCATCTACTGGAAGACTGGAGAGCTTTCCTGTGTAATTGGTTGGCCATTGTGAGAACAGATTACTGAACTAGATGAGCTCAGGGTCCAATCTAGTTGGGCAGTGCTTTATCTCTTACATATGGTTGGATCAGATTGGATACAAATGAAAAATTAGAATACTCTGGTGTTGAAATGTTTGTACCAGAATGTTCCATTCCGGAATGGTAGGTTTTTCACATAAAACCTGCAATTATATCTGAAAATAATTTTAAAAGATAAAGGGCATTAATAAAATTAAAATAAGAAACATGGGCAAAACAAAGAATCCCTGGATATGACACATCTTGTTTGAACTTCCCCTAATTTTTCTCAAACATTTGACAGAGTTATCTGGCGAAATATTGCGACCAAATGTGTATTACCCAACAGAAGGATGGCTAGTTCTTGTTTGTGAAATTTAAAAATCACTTCTGCTTGAAAAAAAATTTTTTTGTTATTTTTCTAAAGCAACTGGTCACCAAATCTGCAGGATAATACATCAAAATGTTTTAAGAGACATCCCCATTCTGAAAAAGAAATAGCTAACACAGTTTAAATTAATCACAGGCTCAACAAATGAAAGTTGTACTATGCCTATAATTACCTAAGGGGTGATCTGCATAATCTGGCCTTTGAATGTAACTCGGCACAGGCCTCATTGGCATCTAAATAAAGCACAATTAAGATCCGTTTAAACATATTTATTAGCTTAGTCATTCTGAATGTGGATAACAGTTGCTAGAAAACAAACAATAAAATGGATATTTTCAAATCAAATGAAAGCATATATTAAAATCTCCCATCCAAGAACTGCAAACCAAATATATAAATAATTCCAGAGATCCAAAGGAATAGGACAATACTCCAGGTAGAACAGATGTTGGAGAATCAAAGAGGAGAAACTGAACTTGGGCCAGGAATTGGAGACAAAGACAAGTGCACACAAATGTCCTTAGCAATTCGCAGCCTGTCTCTCAAGAAGTGGATGAAGAAGAATTAACACTGAGCTCCAATCACATTCCTCTGGGAATCTTTAGCTCTATGAAGCCTGGTGCACCCTAGAGAAAACGTGTTTGTCTCCTGAGTAACCATCCCAAGATATCTACCTTTAAACCATTCTGTATGTTGCTCTGAAACCTAGCAATCACACTGAACTCCTGGACTTGGAAGTCAAGAGAGTTCTTCCAGTTTAGATGCTTAAATTACAGGCTCAAAAGACAAAGAAAATACTGTTTCTGCTTCTGCTTCAGTCTAACACTTTAAGAAATAGGTTTCTCTTATTACTCAAGTTGCCCAATCCTATCTCTCTTCCTCTAATGAGGATTTCTCTGCTATAGCAGGGGTGTCAAACTCGATTTCACTGAGGACTGCAACAGGGTTGTCCGGGGTGGGGTGGGGGGGTCGGGGTAGGCATGGCCAGGGTGGATGTGGCCAGTTTGACATGATTTGTGTCGGAGGCACCTGTGATGACCAAGTTCTAAGGCAGGACTTCCCTTAGACCCTCCCTCTCATTATAATATCCTTCCTTCCTTCTCTTCTTTTTCCTTTCCTCTTTTCTTCTTCCTTCCCCTCTTTCCTTATTTTTCCTTCCTTGCTCTCTTCCCATCTTTCTTTCTTTTTGTTTGTCTTTCCTCTTTCCCTTTATCCTTTCCTGTCCCTTCATGCTCAAATGTAAAAGGGGAAACATTTTTCCTTTTGTTTTGCTTTTAGTTTGTTTTGCTAGCCCTCTGCCAGCGAGAATGTAGCTTGGGGGGATGCACGTGGGCCCCCAATCTCCATTTTTGCTGGCACATGGCTGCAGGAGGCTGTCGCGGCAAAAAACGGAACTCCGTTTTCGCTGGCAGAGGCACTGCCAGCTAGTCCTTTGCAGTTTCCAGGGTGGCCCTGTGGGCCAGATCTAACCACCCTGCAGGCCGGACCCAGCTCACGGGCCTTGTTTGACATCCCTGGGCTATACTTAAAACCCTCAGCTACAGGAATGAAGCTCAAATAAAAATGATAAAAAATATTTGTTTGGACAACACCTAAGTTTTCAGTAATTCCACCATTCCTTTTTGTAGCTATTGAAATAATTGTATATTTATGAAGTTTTGGTTTGACAACCTGATGTCAGAGGCAAAACGGAATTCAGTAACTCTGAATAACAATGGCATACCACATTAGTACCCAAGGCATTAAGTGAGCCTTCCAAAAATCTTCCACTGAACTGTAATATTTAGTGCGGCAGAAGGGGAAAATATTAAATGAGTATTGCTTCAATTATATTTTGAATTGCGTTTTTGTTTCCTTGCTTTTTGAGTTGAAATAACAAGTCCCGACAAGATAACATGCCCTTGCCTTTAAGGACTGCGGAAGCACTGCGGGAAGCCTGTTGCTCCAACTGTTTAAAAGTTTTCTAGTTTAAACTGGATGTCTCAAATCATTGTACTAAGAACTGCAGCTTCTATACAGAGCCAGTATTCCAAATTTTCTGTAAACTCACCCAGCAAGACAACAGACTGGGAGTTCTCATTTGTATTAAAGGTTGCAAACTGGCAAAGTCATTGTTATATGAATGACAGTGACGTATTCTGCAATATACAGAAGAATTCACAATTTCATACTTTATGTCACACATTTAGCAGCTGCTTATAACCAGAAAGCAAGATTCTTAAAATCTAGTTTAACCAAATGTATTGAAAGGAAAAAAGAATACTTTAGAAAAGTATTGGCAATTATTTATGTAAAGCAATTTCCTATGCTCCTAAGTATGAGATCATAAAAGCCTTTGAAGACACAGAAAACACATTCTGAAATAGGTTGGCAAATGATTTGAGAAACCATAGTTACCACTGTGACTCAGAAGAACCAGCATCATAAAAATATAACTGTAACTAAATCATGACTGATTGAGCAGAGAGAAAATGGAAGCAGGTAATAAACTTAAACCATGGTCTGTCATCATAACTGGAAGCACAATCATGATTTAATTCTGAACTATTAGCAAAACAAACTTTCTAATACAGTACTTCCCAAATTTGGGTAAATTGTCCAGCACTGGGTATAAGTTTTTCTTTGGCTTCTTCACATGAATCATTACCTAATTACAACAGGGATATTTAAATAAGAACATTCTGGTAAAAAGGACTTTCTAGTAAATGGTTTGGGTAATGAAGGAGGGGGGTATTGCTCTAATATGTGGACTATAAGTTATTCCATCTTCATTCCTTTTTGATTCTGTAATCATCAGCTACATTACTACCATAATCAATTACTGCACCCATTATTTTTTCAAGTTAGTGTTTCTTCAAAGACTATTGTACATGAGTTCATCACCTAGCAAAAAATGTGAACATTCTGTTAGCAACTTATCAAGTCTTTATATCAGGGCAGGAATTGAATTATTTGTCAGTCAGCTCTGCATCTTAGTTCACACATAACAGGAACCGATAATAACTTGGTTATTTTATGAATTCACTTATTATGGCTTAATGCTATATTCGAAGCAAATTACTATGGTTTATTCAAAAACCATGTTTAACTAATCCTGGTTTAATACAATATTAGCCACTCCTTATACTATCTGCACCTGTCAAGATTTAGAAAGACCTTAAAATACTTTTTTTCCAGAGCCTATGTGAAGTTGGAAAACCTCTTCTAAAAATATATTTTAAAATGCCTGATTTGTTCTCATCAAATTGAGCTGCTGTTTATATGCAGTCATTTCCAAGCTGAGAAAATATGTGCAGAATAAAGCCCAGATCTTCTATTATGGACTATCCACTAAAACAGATTTGACTAATGCTTCCTTTGTTCTTTATACAGTTGGTCCTTGAATTTGGAATACAATTGGAACCAGCATGTCTGTTGCTAAGAAAGGCGGTTGTTAAAGTGAGTTGCGCCCAATTTTACCATTTTTGTCTGAGCTGTTAAGCAAATCACAGCAGCTTTTAAGCGAATGATGCAATTGTTGAATTTGCTTGTCAGAAGTCATCAGGGAAGATGGCAAATCACGATCACATGGCCCTGGGACACTGCAGTTGTTGTAAATGTGTATGCCAGTTGCCAATTGCCCAGATTTTGATCACATGATTGTGGAGATGCTGTGACAGTAGTAAGTGTAAGAACTAGTCTTTTTTTTTTCATTTCCACTGTAGTTTTGAATGGTCCCTACATTATTGGATGTAAGTCAAGGACTACCTGTACTGGAGTATTATGTCTCTCAAAGGGACAGCCTATTGCTGTCAAAAAACAAATTTTTTTGGCATTTTAGAGATTAACAAACTTACATTTATACAGGTAGTCCTCAGTTTACAAAGTTCGCTTAGAAACCATTCAAAGTTACAGTTGCACTGAAAAAAGTGACTTATGACCATCCCAGCAACCCCTGGTCATGTGATTTACATTCAGATGCTTGGTAATTGGTTCATATTTATGATGGTTGCAGTGATCATCTTTTGTCACATTCTGACAAGCAAAGTCAATGGGGAAGCCAGGTTCACTTAACAACTGTGCTACTAATATAACTGCAGTGATTCACTTAACAAAGGTGGCAAGAAAAATTGTATGGAAATTCAGTGCAAAACTTTCCCAGTTAAGAATAAAATCAATAAGGTAATTAACCACTAGAAATTAAAAATTACATACAGGTAGGCCTCGACTTACAACCACTTTATATAGCGACCAAACAAATAACTGTTTTTCACACTTACGACTGTTGCAGCATCCCCATGATCACATGATCAAAATTCAGGTGCTTGGCAACTGGGATGTATTTATGATGGTTGCAATGTTCCAGGATCATGTAATCACCTTTTGTGATCTTTTGACAAGCAAAGTCAATGGGGAAGCCAGATTCACTTAACCACCGTGCTACTAACTTAACAACTGCAGTGATTCACTTAACAAAAGTGGCAAGAAAAATTGTAAAATGGAGCAAAACTCACTTAAGAAATTTCTCACTTAGCAACATACATATTGGGCTCAATTGTGATCATAAGTTGAGGACTACCTTTATAAGCTTTCACGGAAGTGGACTCGATTCATGAAAGAGAAATAATAGAATCTGTTAGTAGGCTGCTTTAAATTGTCTGATATACATTATGGTAAAATAACCATCAAAATTGTTTAATGTGTACACATCTTTAAAAAATAATTGGACAATCACGTTTCCTAACTGGGAGAACTATTGTGAAAAAATTACCTTCCTGTGGTTTGACTGACGAAAAAACTGAACAAAGTGACACATTTCAGTTATTTCACCCTATTTACCAGTGGATAATGTGGCCTGAGTTTCCCAGTATATCGATAACCAGCCCAGGGATCTGTGTTTATGTCTCCATCTACAGTCCAGGCAGAAACTTCTCGTTTTGCTTTCTCATCTTCTAGAAAACAAAAGCAGAATCATTACCGATCTTAATTAAGAAACTTCATCAAACATCAGAAATTGAAAAGTTATATGGATAGATGGAAACTCCTTTCTACTCTCTTTGTTAGAGCTCTAAATTTTCCCCATGATGCTTGCTTTTCCTGTACAATCTAACTTAAATACTAGCATGTTTCTCTGAAAATAAGACCTTGTCTTTTATGTATGTATGTATGTATGTATGTATGTATGTATGTATGTATGTAT